CTGCTTGAGAATGGCAAGGAAAAGTATGCTCGCCTTCATAAAACCTGCCAAATTCTAGTGTTCTTACAGGCATAGTAGCTAGTTGGTCAGAAATATAGTAGCCAGATATCACCTGGACTAACTTGTCATTAAAGCACAGTATTCCTGTATGATTTGTTTACACTTAGAAAGATCTGAATATGTTTTTGCAATCTATTGGTAAGAGCTGTAACTGTTTGTTATATGGCTTCCTTTTGTGTGCTTGTCTAATTAAGACTGCATTGCATATAATCTCTTTTGAATACCTCCACTAGGAGTTCTTCTCAGTCTGGTTTATCATCAAGTATCTTAAATGTCATGTTTTATTAATCAGTATTTCTTACTGAATTTGTGAATACCAGACAGAATGTTTGTTTTGCTTATGTTGTTTAATAGAACTGGGAGTTTGTAAGACTGTTAGACTGTGTAAGCTGGAGAATCACTAATACTGCTTTGAACCTCGTGGTTGCAGAAGTGATGCCAGGTGAGATGAACTAAGATTCATATCCCCAGAAAATACTTTTTTTTTTTTTTTATCAAAGTGCAAAATAATATGGACATCAGTTTAGCCTTCCAAAGCTTGTAAGACTGGTCAATTAAAAATAAGACTATTTGCAATCCTATATATCTTTGCACGGACAGTTTTACTTAAATTTGTAATTTAAATGGTAGATATTGATATTAATTTTACTACCAATTAAGACACCAGACTTAACTATCGGATATATTGTTTAGCAAATTAGCACAGTGTCAAAACAAAAAAACGCTACTTGGCCTCCTCTTGATGGCTATAGGTGAAGGTTGGGGGGAATAATGGTATATACCTGTCACCAGGTTAATAAATAATAGTCTCCCCTCCCCCATTATTAAGTAATACGTCCCAGGGACCTCTTAAATACTTTGCCATGCCCATGAGCATGATTCATTGTTTCACTGTAGGAATTAATGTAATGTATGTAAAGGATACATAAACTGGCTACATAATAGAAGTGGTATGACTGTTTACAGCACTGGGGAAATTAATTTGACTGTCTCTTGTTAGAGAAGCATGTGATTTGTAGATCACAGAAGAGGGGCTGTAAATTAGACTCATTCCTGTCAAGCCAGCATCCCGTTGTCCAAATAGGACACCTTGCCTAAAAACATTTACATGTGAAGAGTTTATACTTTCCCCAGCGCTACTAACTGTTTGCCTTTTGGTTGCTTTACTAAGTATTGATCATTAAAAGTCAGGAGCCAGTCTCTCTCCTAAGAACCATACCCAAAATTAATAATAATCCAGAGATGAGTAATTGTGTTTTTATATAGTTGAAGCTATACCTTATAAAGTAAATCCTAACTTGACCATTGTACCTTAAGCCGCTTGGAGAAATTGGAAAAGTCAGTTATTCTAAGTCACAGGCAGGTCTTTTAATTTGTCTATTGAAGAGATGAAATTTTGACAATTACATATATCAAAAAATGATCTCTATACCAGATCTAAAGACATATATTTTTACATTTGTGTTTAAAATTGCCAAAGGTGAGATTGAAGGTGTCCGTAAATTGGGATCCCTATAGTTACTCCTACCCTCCACCCTGTACCTCCTTCAGGGATGACTTGGAAACCTGATAGGGATGCAAATTGTATATCATTATAGTCTGTAATGCAAATGACCAGTGTACTTACTTGGGGAAAATATGTAATTTTGAAGTAAGTTGCCATTATTTTGCTAGAGACCCCCAGGGATGGAACATAGACGAATGTGCTAGCTAAGGGAATAACTTGAATTTTCTGCTAATTTTTTATTTTTTTATTTTTATCGGTTTGTTGATTTGGGTAGTCAACTCTTTACCTAATTACACTTCATACTGTTGTCTGTTGTGTGAGGAAATAGGCTATTGTTCTATGTCCCAGGTTATTATGGGTACATCATTATTTATTTTTTCCCACTGAAATCAATATATATAGGATGTTTGTGTAAATTACTGTTATCACTGTACCCTGCTGCTGTAGCAACGGTGCCAGAGTTTCTCACCATGTGCTTAAACCCTTGTTTTCCATGTATGTGAAGAGAGAGATGGGAGACATTCTTAATTATCGAGGACTGTGGAGGTCCCTGCTTTGTTTTTTGTTTTGTTATTTAGCAACTGTTAGAATTGTTTTTTTTTTCTTGCAGGTATTACAGGGAGTGCAGAATTATTAGGCAAGTTGTATTTTTGAGGATTAATTTTATTATTGAACAACAACCATGTTCTCAATGAACCCAAAAAACTCATTAATATCAAAGCTGAATATTTTTGGAAGTAGTTTTTAGTTTGTTTTTAGTTATAGCTATGTTAGGGGGATATCTGTGTGTGCAGGTGACTATTACTGTGCATAATTATTAGGCAACTTAACAAAAAACAAATATATACCCATTTCAATTATTTATTATTACCAGTGAAACCAATATAACATCTCAACATTCACAAATATACATTTCTGACATTCAAAAACAAAACAAAAACAAATCAGTGACCAATATAGCCACCTTTCTTTGCAAGGACACTCAAAAGCCTGCCATCCATGGATTCTGTCAGTGTTTTGATCTGTTCACCATCAACATTGCATGCAGCAGCAACCACAGCCTCCCAGACACTGTTCAGAGAGGTGTACTGTTTTCCCTCCTTGTAAATCTCACATTTGATGATGGACCACAGGTTCTCAATGGGGTTCAGATCAGGTGAACAAGGAGGCCATGTCATTAGATTTTCTTCTTTTATACCCTTTCTTGCCAGCCACGCTGTGGAGTACTTGGACGCGTGTGATGGAGCATTGTCCTGCATGAAAATCATGTTCTTGAAGGATGCAGACTTCTTCTGTACCACTGCTTGAAGAAGGTGTCTTCCAGGAACTGGCAGTTGAGCTTGACTCCATCCTCAACAAAAGGCCCCACAAGCTCATCTTTGATGATACCAGCCCAAACCAGTACTCCACCTCCACCTTGCTGGCGTCTGAGTCGGACTGGAGCTCTCTGCCCTTTACCAATCCAGCCACGGGCCCATCCATCTGGCCCATCAAGACTCACTCTCATTTCATCAGTCCATAAAACCTTAGAAAAATCAGTCTTGAGATATTTCTTGGCCCAGTCTTGACGTTTCAGCTTGTGTGTCTTGTTCAGTGGTGGTCGTCTTTCAGCCTTTCTTACCTTGGCCATGTCTCTGAGTATTGCACACCTTGTGCTTTTGGGCACTCCAGTGATGTTGCAGCTCTGAAATATGGCCAAACTGGTGGCAAGTGGCATCGTGGCAGCTGCACGCTTGACTTTTCTCAGTTCATGGGCAGTTATTTTGCGCCTTGGTTTTTCCACACGCTTCTTGCGACCCTGTTGACTATTTTGAATGAAACGCTTGATTGTTCGATGATCACGCTTCAGAAGCTTTGCAATTTTAAGAGTGCTGCATCCCTCTGCAAGATATCTCACTATTTTTGACTTTTCTGAGCCTGTCAAGTCCTTCTTTTGACCCATTTTGCCAAAGGAAAGGAAGTTGCCTAATAATTATGCACACCTGATATAGGGTGTTGATGTCATTAGACCACACCCCTTCTCATTACAGAGATGCACATCACCTAATATGCTTAATTGGTAGTAGGCTTTCGAGCCTATACAGCTTGGAGTAAGACAACATGCATAAAGAGGATGATGTGGTCAAAATACTAATTTGCCTAATAATTCTGCACTCCATGTAGTTTTATTGCTCCATCACTATTTTATTATTGTGGGGTGTCTTGGAGACAAAATAATGGATCCACAAAACTGCTTGAATAGTGGGTTAAATTGCACCTCTGAGGGTTTTTTAACTATTTGCCCACTGGCTGCTCCTGCTAATAGCATGCAGTGGACTTGTGCATGGAGAGAAATTTAGGTTTGCATGAACCATTTTGTCTTAAAATCAAATATTTTCAGGATGGACACATGTCTACCATATGTTGGTTCGGTTCGGCAAAATGATAGTACCAAAAAATTTATTTTAACAAATCTGACTAAATAAAAGGGCACAAAAAAGGGGTCAATCAGTAGTGATGTCGCGAACATCAAATTTTATGTTCGCGTACCGCGAACCCGAACTTCCTCAAATGTTCGCGAACCGGGCGAACCTGGCGAATCGCCATAGACTTCAATAGGCAGGCGAATTTTAAAACCCACAGGGACTCTTTCTGGTTGAAGGAGGGGTGGTGGCCACCTACTCTCCTCCCCCCCCCGGCCCCCACCCCTGGGCGGCGGGTGGGAGCCATAAAGATAATGAGGGGGGGACCTACTGTCCTCCCCCTCTCCGGCCCCCACCCCTGGGCGGCGGGTGGGGGCCATAATGATAATGAGGGGGGGACCTACTGTCCTCCCCCCCCGGCCCCCACCGCTGGGCGGCGGGTGGAGGCCATAAAGATAATGAGGGGGGGACCTACAGTCTTTGGCCCCCACCCCTGAGCGGTGGGTGGGAGCCCTAAAATTAACAATAAGGGGGGGACCTACTGTCCCCTCTCCCGGCCCCCACCCCTGAGGCCCCCACAGCCTGTGGCTGCTCACTGTTAAAAAATTTGAGCGGGTGGGGGGGTTCTAAAATAATACAGGGGACCTATTGTTCTCTGGTTTCGACGTTCGAGCTGGGGCTCCTGGGGACCCTAGCCACCCCTCCTCCCCAAAAATTTTAGCCCCTACCTACCCTCACTATAAGCTGAACCGACGCACTAAAATGTAAACCAGCGCTTATTGCAGGGTCATTCGTTTCATGGATACCTCACAGCAGATTGCGCCTGCAGGTCGGGAAGGCTGGCTTATAAAGCATATTGCCAGTTTTTCCTGCAATTAGGTTGTTAGAACACTCTGATTGGCTGCTTTTGGCCAATCACAGTGCTCTGTGTCATTTTACACAGCGTGGGAAAGTTCTTTGGAATTTTCCCACGCTGTGTAAAATGACAGAGCACTGTGATTGGATGGATTTCAAGCCATCCAATCACAGTGCTCTGTGTCATTTTACACAGCGTGGGAAAATTCAATTTTCCAACGCTGTGTAAAATGACACAGAGCACTGTGATTGGATGGATTTCAAGCCATCCAATCACAGTGCTCTGTGTCATTTTACACAGCGTGGGAAAGTTCAATTTTCCCACGCTGTGTAAAATGACAAAGAGCACTCTGATTGGCTTAAACCAGCCAATCAGAGTGTTCTTAGCCTAATTGCAGGGCGTGGCAAGGCTTTATAAGCCTTCCCCCGCCCTGCAGAGCTCAGTCTGCGCGGAGCCCTCCATGGGTGAACATGGATTATTTTTTTGTGCGCTCGTTTTTTTTTTTGTTTGTTTTTTTTTTTATTGCGTCGGTTCTTATGACTTTTTATTTGGCCTTTTTTGGGGCTGAAAAGAGAAGATTGTAGAAGAAAGAAAACATCAAATGGTAAGTTATTTTTATCAATTTTTTTTTTTTACAGGTTTTTAGTTAAAGGTCCCCACCTCATTATTTTTAGGGTGAGGGGGGTAGGTAGGGAGATCATTTTTTTTGGGGGGGGAGGGGTGACTAGGGTCCCCCCCCTTTGTGTTTAGGGCCCCCACCCACCGCTCAGGGGTGGGGGCCAGGGGGACAATAGGTCCCCCCTTATTGTTAATTTTAGGGTCCCCACCCACCGCTCAGGGGTGAGGGCCAGGGGGGGACAATAGGTCCCCCACAGTTACCTCTTAGGGGCCCCCCACCCACCTCAGGGTAGCCGGGGACACAAGAAGTCCCCCCCCTTATTGCTGGCTAGGGCCCCACCCAATCACCAGGGTAATGGGACAGTAGGTCCCCCCACAGTTATTTTTTAGGGCCCCCACCCACCTCTCAGGGTGGAAATGTATTGTGCAGGTCCCCCCGGTTGTTATTTTCTAGGCCCCCACCCACCGCTCACAGGGTAATGGGGACAGTAGGTCCCTCCCTTATTGTTATTTTTAGGCCCCCACCCAAATCGCCTCAGGGTAGGCCGGAGGAGGACAATAGGTCCCCCTATTAGTATTTAGGCTCCAATCGGGGACCTTTTTAACAGTGAGCAGCCACAGGCTGCTCACTGTTTAATAGACATGCCCCTACTTGCGGTATTGCGAGTAGGGGCACAATTTACTAATACTAAGTAATTTTTACTTAGTATTAGTAAATTAATAGGGGGCGGATCGAACCGCGCATATGTTCGCCGTCCGTGGCGAACGCGAACACGCTATGTTTGCCGGGAACTATTCGCCGGCGAACCGTTTGGGACATCACTATCAATCAGTATACTGTACTGCAAAATGTATACCTAATATATATATATTATATATATATATATTGTCGTTTCTTCACCTCCCCATTTGGTTCACAGATTGAGTGACAAAATGCAAACTATAGATGGAAAAAAACAGTAGCAGTTAAAAAAATCTCTGAATATATAGATATAGATATATATATATAGAGAGAGAGAGAGAGAGAGACTTTTTTTGCTGCCACATGCAGTGGTGCCCCATGCAGGATGTAAAATCACGAATCACAAATTAAAACATATATGCTCGTCCATTGAACATTTGAAGTAGTTCGTGATTTTGCTATATTCCAGCACCAAGTTTGGTAATTCCCCAATCAACCCAATTTCAGATGAACTGCGGTTTGCAACAAAACAAATCTCCAAGTCTAGTGGGGAAATAGTTAGGATTTTTAAAATCTGGGCCCTGATTTTAAGCATCTAGGTTTGGATTTTACCAAATTTGGGTCTGTATTTCAGCTGTCCAGAAGCTTTCGGTCAAGCTGAAATCTGGAATTTGAGGGGTGGGGCCTGACAGCCAAGATGGCCAGACCTATCTTACAGCATAACCAAGCCTAACAGTATACCTGCTATAATCTTGTTGTGGACAGCCCTGAGCAATCGGAGGACGGTTACAGCATTTAGTGTCAACTTGTAGAAGTCTTTTCTCCTGCCGCCCAAATACCTGGAAAGCCTTCCGTACTTCGGAGCGCCAACAGACCTGCGACCCTACCGAGTGGAGAAGGGAGAGTCCTTGGAAATGCGGTCCTGGCTCCCTTTATGGTATTGCACAAGAGGGTGAAGATTGGTGGTACAGCAGATCTGCTACTGACCATGAGCATAAAGTCTGGATGTCTTTACAAGACTGCATTGGGGATGGAAATTTGAAGGAGGACTGTATCTTGTTGCCTACCAGTGGCATTGGATGAATGACTAATCCCTGCTCTGTTATAGTTCTGTTATAGTTTTCCAGCCTATGAATAGTTCAGGAATATTTGTTCTCTCACTATATTGGCACCAGTACCCAGAGGCACTAATGCTATTTGTTTTAATGTTAATCCAGCACAGTTTACTATGTTACACTCATGCATGCATGCATAGCGTGTTTATTTTATAAGTGTATACTCATGCATATCTATCCGGTTTCATTCGTTATATTTTAAAATTAGGCTGAATATTTCTGGAGCTACGCTACATGTATTTTTACCCATTGATTTACTCATGTTTCTCATATGCTAAGTCAAGTTATGTGTGTTAACACCTGCTCTAACTCCTTTTTGCTTGTACTGTAACTTGAATCCGCCTTTGTGATTGACACATAAAAACAGAAAATGTTTTTTTGTTTTTTTAATGTTCAGGAATTTGATCATTGGAGCCTGCTCTACAAACCCCTAAATCCCAAATTCTCCAGACTGCAATCAGCTACCCTATCTAACCATAGATGCAGTGATTAAAAGAGGGTCAGTTATTTTTTTGTAATTTTTAATGGTAGTTCACATTTAAAGGTTCGGTATCGACTGTGGAAGAAAAGCTTCAGTTTGTAAGAACTGTCAATAGATAGAGGCATGACTCATATCTGTTAGAACAAAGTACATTTAAAAACAAAATCCATTTCCTGCCTCGAGATAAGCTTTCAGATTTCAGCTTTCAACATACTAATCCAAATCTAAACTATATTATAGAAAACAAATATGTTGTGCTATCGTTATCAATGACAGAAAATAAGCAGATGTTCCTTATAAAGTTTTCATTATGACTTCAGGCTAATTTGGTTTATTATATTCTCCTTGTATATCACTGCGTACCAGCTTTCTAAAACACTTTAGAACCAAATGTAAAACATTGCCGTCATCACAATCTGGTCCATGAAAACCCGATGCCCACATGCTTGGCAGCTCAATGCAGCCTTTTGGTCATTAATACTGACAGTTATTATATTTTGAAATAAAATCCTTAACTAATATTTTGCTATGCGGGGCATATACAGTCAGTGGTCTGTCACAGGTCCTGACGTGGTTAATTTACATGACATAGCCCTTACATCTAAGCCCTTTTTAGATTTCTGTTTCATTTTTCTAAAGTAACATTGTATTGTAGTAATTTAAATTGACAAAGTTCATTATGCTCACACATCGCTGTCGATTCAGCTGATCCAAAAGAAAATGAACAAACTATCCCCTTAAAGAAAAGCATTATATGTACATAGACTTTAGTATTGATATAAGTTACAAACGTATTACGGATGTAAAATAAATTCAATATTTGAATAGATTTTTGTCCAAAGTCCCTAGTGGCTGGCTGGCTTACAGTCAATCGCAAGCATAGAAATTGCAAAATATAATCAGCGATTGTTCTCCAGGGTTGGAATTCTTACAAGAGCAAATATGAACTGATTTGCGTGCTTAGATTGCCAATTTAACCCAATATTCCTTATTATTATTATTTTTATATAGCGGCAACGAATTACGTAACGCTATACAATGGGTCGACTAACAAACATGTAGTTGTATAGAAATAGAAAAGGAGAAAGGGTGGCGCTAATAGAAAAATGTGCTACTAATATAGCATGCAGCAAAAACACCTTAGTGTATAGTCACTACATACACTTACATATACAAATGAAAAAACAGGAGTAGGTGATTGCGCAGGTAGCTTGTAAGTCCACAAATTTGTGGTACGTCCCTAGGTTCTGTAAAAATAGAACACCAACATAGGGTAGTATGTCAAACATATAATATACAATTGAGAAGCTTGGAAAAACTCACAATTTGATGAGCATTTATAAGTTTGCTCTAAACTATATAGCTGGAGTGAATCATTCAGATGTACATAGATCCAATGTATAGGTCCCCCAGGAGGTGTTTGCAGTCCTCAAGCAGGTAAATCAGGAACCAGGTAACCGGGTACAGGTAGAAAATAAATTTATTATAATAAAACACAATAAAAAGCACAACGCGTTTCGACCCAACAGAGAGGGTCTTCCTCAGGTGCAGGTATAAGTTACAATGAGAGATATTCACAATTTATAAAGCAAACAATTAACAATCAATTACAGGTGTATAAACAATAAGTCCCTCCCCTTAGTAGTATACAGGTGATGTTCCAGCCTCTTTCCGCCACCTCCAACATGTCAGCCAATTGTGGAGTCCTATAGTGTTCATTGTGACCTTCCCAACATGGCCGCCATACACGGCCAGCTTGTGTTCGTCACTTCCGGTTTGTCCGGTTTACGGTTATGTCACTTCCGGTTTCGTCATTACTGTGTGATTATCCGGCGATCTATTAATGACGTTAACACATCCCCCAATAGGGGTGGAATACACCATCAGTCCAAAAATCGGCCATATTTAAAATGGGAAAACGGAGAGACAATAATAAAAAATTATATTACACAAATAGATCAGGAATCATAAATAAAGAATTAAGAACAATAGTTAAGACTTGTTTTTCTAATATATAGAAACAACATCTCATAAAGTGAAATAAAAAATATAAAAAATACAAAAATGACAGTTTTTAATACATTAAAAGCATTTATAATAAAAACTGTGTATACTGCCAAAACATAAAATGCATTAAAATGTGTTAAGAACCAATTAAAGCTTCTAAATTGGACTTAATTAAAGGTATAGTGATTTTACAAAATAGAACCAATTTCGAAATCTATATTCAACCCTTTAGGACATAAAGTTTGCAACTCAAAAATCCAATTGGATTCTTTCTTACTTAGATTAAATGTGATGTTCCCTCCCCTCCAATGGGTTTGGACTTGCTGTATTGCCATAA